CAATTCCATCAGTCTTCCAAGCTACGATTTTTGTAAATTCATCTTTGATATATGAAAAATCTGGATCCGTAATCAATCGTGAGCGTTCCTCAATAGTAGCAGATATGTCCTTACATAGACTACACTGGCATGATTGACTGGTGCCTTCCATTGCAAGCATGCGTATTTGACGCTCTTGTGTTGACAAAGTTTCTAAATGACATTGGAGTCGTTCGCCCCTCTTAATTCGTCGTACTGTGATCCAATATGATGTACCGCCTGTTTGTACAAGACCAACATTTGGCATACACGCAACGCTGACGTAATTTCCCATAATGCTTACTTGTGTTGCTATAAACTTCTTTTCTAATGGATCTGATGGTGGTAATTTAGGTACTTCCATCGAATTGCATCTATTAATCTGGCTATGATGTACACTAAGATGCATCAGAAAACGTTGGTGCTTAACCGATTTGAACTTATCAACGTGTTTTTGCATTAAAAGTTTATACATCTTCAAAATTCTAGATGCAATAACTGGAAAATCTATATCAGTGTAAGCAAACACCTTAGTGGTCTGAAGCTGGAGATAGACTCGGTACTTAGATTCTTCACTTGTTAGATTATCGGGAACTTTTCTCTGGTCAGTTTTTTTCAGACTGTTCTCGACGAATTGCATAAGGTCATCTGCATTAGGAAACAAATCAATGGCTTTCAAAACACTTCGTAGATCGCACAATCTTCTTTCGTTTATAATTTTGCGATCAGTAAATTTCGCACCACATTCGTATTTATGAAGGACATGTCTTCGGCATTCAGGACTACAAAACAATGCCTCGGTGCAGTTTTCGCATGGAATCAGATTGACATATGTCTTCGAGCAAATATTACAACCGATTTTATTGTTATACATGTATTTTAGATATGCCGTTTCAGCTATCAGCGTTTGCCCGACCTCGATATCTTGTGTTGCTGTGAGCCATTCATTACCATAGCTATCACATTGAAAATCGAGTACGTTAGCCATGTATGGGATGAATTGGTTCGCATCAAAACTCAATTTGGGAACAAATGAGCCGAAGATTTCACCCCTTTGTGCAAGGCATTCAGTACATTTGTCTTCGAGACCGTTCAATTTCAGTACATCATAGCCGTAATCTATTGCCAATTTAATATCGAGGCGACATTTTTTGTACTGCCTAATTTTGTAAAAGCATTTAGCACGATTTGCAAAGGTCAAACTGGAGGAAAAGAAAAAGAAAAAAGTAAAATGCAATGTAGACCTTCTTTCCAATGTGCCGGTACTCACTACTCAGTGGACACAAATGACAGTGATGCACCAGTTTTTTTTTTGTGTAAGCTATAAACAATTTTGACCCTCCCATTTTAGTGTATGATACCACTATTTCGGTACATTATAAACGTTATTTCTAGATTATGTTTTGTGGTAATGGTATAACTTGATTACACGATATGTGATAATATTAAACAATGTTCTCAAAACGAAAAGCCTCTCAAATATTCGTGGTTTTGAAGAAAAAAAATATTCAAGTATTTTTATTTTTAAGTTAATAATATTATTTATGACTTTTTGGAATAAAATAACTTGGAAATAAATAGTTTTCATGAAAAAATGTAAAATTCAGTAATTTCAATCCTGCAAATTTGGCTACAATTTTTGTTCAATATAACACAAGAAAATCACGGTATATTTTATTAACCTGTATATATATATGATTGCCCGAGAATGAAAGCGAGACTTCTATTCACAACTTATTGAAATGTAACACCACCATACAAAATATGCTGACTGTTATAAAATGTAATGCAGCTAATCTATCAAAAACTTTGCGGCTTACATTATACACCACGTATCTCATACACTAATTTGTGCCCACTGTGTACTTATATGATATATTCGAAAAAAATCTTTGATTTTCAGATCCTTTGGCGTAATTTTGATTTTCGTTATTTTTTTTTAAATATTTTTCAACGACATTTTTACAATTTAAGTTAGTTTCCCACCTGATTTTTTCCGGGTTTTCAGTGAAACACAAACTTTGGTTGTACGCTTCTATTGCTTCGATATAATTCTTATTGTCAAATGCACCATTTCCTTCACGGTGATACTTTTTCCACATTTCATCAGATTTAGTTACCTTGGGTTCTGATAATAAGCTAGGTCCTCGTTGGGATGTGAGTCCTAATCTGCCCCTTGCAATCAAATCGATGTACACTTCATTTCCATCGAGGTTCTCTTTTTCCCATAACATGGTGAAATCACAAGTTTTGTGTTGTTTCAAACGTAACCAACCCAATTCCTGAAATTATTTCAAAACAGAGACATTAACTATCAAGTGATTCACAACTATTAAATATTATTTGAATTCTGCTTTTTAAAAATATACTTTAGCTGCAAAATTCAATCAAGTATTGCTTTCAAAATTGCTTTCGATACTGACACGATGCTCACAATGAAGCGTACGATTGATTTTTGATTGGCTTATACACAAAGAGTTTTAAATATACAGCGTGAATCAAGGCGTGATTTTTTCTGTATAAAGTCAGCGAGTCCAGTTATTAATATGTTGAAATTAAATTCAATGTATACATAAGGCTACGGTGTGTCGAATGAAGTTGTCGCTGTCAAGAAAACTGAACTGTCATTACCATGATATACGTTCCAATTCAACTGAATATCGAACTTTTCGATTGGCAATGTGAAAATAAATGTGGATTAGGGAGAAGAGAGCTGCAAACATGTTTATATTGTTGCTATAGTAGTGTGTGGCTTTAAAATTTCTTTATACTGAAAGAAAAGAAGAGCTAAATCAACAGAGAATGAGAAAGAAACAAAACACCATGACATCATCATTGTGCATCGCACTGTAACCTTTTTCTGCGTATAACTCAACACTATTGATGAATGTATTAATGTGTGACTCACACTCACAGGCTATGCCAAACCTTACGCAAAGCGTATTTATCAAAAAGAAAAGGCAACATGCAAATTATGTGTCTGGAGTAAGCTAACAGTGTTTCGTTTTTTTGTGAATAATATACAATTATCGAACGAATGTTTAAAACAGTTACAAAAAATGAGTTTTCAATGGCTTGCTTAACAAATATGTTTATGATGTCTTACATTGAAAACATTTCCTCTGAAGATCCTATTATAGAAACAACTTACTTTTTTAGATTATTTTCAAGTGACATGCATTTGCGTTCAGACAAAAATTAACAACAAACGTTCAACTATCTTTTTAAGGTGAATTAAAAACGTTCAATTATCAAACATAGAATTTATTGATGATATTTGAGCATAATAAATGAAAAATTGATCTTAAAATGTAAGTCAATGTAGTAAATGTTGGTTAGTGCTCAGTGTGTTCATAAAAAGTTGATAAACCTCAACGATTACACCAAGTTCCTTGCAAAAACGAATTTCACCGTATTTCTGTAAAAAACTTTTGCATTTGTCAATCGCAGTGGGCATGAATTTATCTATTCGAATTGATTCATCATAGTCAACAATGTAAAGATAGTCTGGATCTAAAGTCATTCGACGGCGTTGTGCCGATGTTGCCATCTTGTTGCTGATACATCGTTCACATGTGCAAAATATTTTTCGACCCTGCCATAAGTTTTTTTGTCGTGTTGCCTTGGGCGCTGACAAAAAATCCTCAATATAAATAGACTTCAATAGTTTTGCTCCCTTCTTAATAGGCCGAATGGTGGTAATCATAAACATATCATGCACGTAAACTTTAAGTACATTTGGAGCGCATGAATGTCTGAAATACTGCGAATATAGTTCTGTTTGAGTACAATAACAATTATTTTCCGTATGATCCATTTTTGGTAGATATGTTCCTATTGCTGAATTGAGTTCCAAAATGTGGTAGTGCTGAAGTATAAGATGCATCAAGAAACGACGACGCTTCACTGACTGGAACATTGAACCTATCTTTGTGATGTTCAAAAGCATTTTGTAGACTTTAAACACAATTACTGCAACATCATCATTAACACCATTGTTGTTGTCAATTGGTAATTTAAGGAACGCTTCGTATTTCCATTTTGCATCCAATGATGTTGTTGGAATTTCATGTAAATCGCCTTTGATGCTTTGTTCCGCAAAGTTCATAAGTTCATCGGCGCTTGAAAAGTGGTCGATTCCCAACAAACAACTGCGTACCAGTCGCATTATTTGACCATTTGTTTGACTGCGTATGCACGATTTCAAACCACATTCATATGGATGGAGTGGGTTATCTTTGCATTCACTGCAAAACATAACGATCGTACATTTTTCACATGGCATTAGGTTTACCAACGATTTTAAACAAATATTGCATTTCGATCCATAGTGTCTGTACAGGAAACACATGAACGACTTTTCTGCCATAATGTTTTCACCGACATCAATATCTTCTGTTGCAAAGATCGCCAATCCACCATCGGCATCTCGATCAATTTTCAGCACATTGGCCATCCATGGAAAATGTTTATGCGGTTCAAATGTCATTTTCGTCTCCAATTTGGATGGCACGTCATTTTTCATTTGTTTCAAACAATCTTCCTTGCGTCGATCCAACTTGGGCATCAATTCGCTGGGATAACGGGCTTCTTTGGCCAATTCAATGTCAACGAGGCATTCATTATATTTTTTCAATTTCAAAAAACAAGCCGAGCGATTGGCATATGCCAAACTTATATTTTTCGAGCTATTTTCAGCAAATAATAAACTTTCATTGTACAATGTGATTGCATGAACCCATTTCCCTTGGCTGAAATATTCATTTCCCGCTTGTCGTTTCTGGAAAGATTGGGTATCATTCTTGGCCAACACTGATTCCTTTTCGTGACACTGCAAATTACGGATGGCTTTTTCCAATGAAGCCTCACCGCCATTCAATGCAAATATGTCCACGTACATCGAATCATAGTTCTTCGTCTCTTTTTTCCACAACATTGTTGGAATCGCTTTGATTTTTCTGCAAACAAATATTTCCAAATGAAATTAATTAGCATTTGTGTTATTTTTGAAACAATTTTTTTTACTTACATTAAAATCAAACTGTGTGTTGAAAATATTACAGATGAAACGAGAATCGTTGTTGAATCTGACTCAATGTTAGTGCTTACGTTAGCTCAAATTACAGTCAATCGTCTGGTGTGCGATGTATATGAAAGATGATTTTACAATCGTCGCAATATCAACAAACTTTTTATATGGCTGGAACATCATTTGGAATGAACAAAACTGTGCATAAACAAAACTGCCAACGTTAGCAGACAAATGTATTACCAACATTGATATTTTAATTCCAAATTCTTGTTTAAATTTGATTCGTTAAATTACTTGTGAGAATGTTTGTGAATATGGTTTTTTCGGTTTTTTTTTTTTAATTATAATACGAATTATTCAAATAAATACAATAATTTCTAATTTTAACTCATTTTGATATAATAAAAAATGGAAAAAACGATTTTGACTTGAAATAAATTCTTTCGTTAAATCTTAGTAAATGGAAATTTATTTATTTAAGTTGGTATTGGCTTCTGCCTTAAGAAATATATTCAAAAAAATTATACAAACTATTTTTGTAATAGATTTTGAAATTTCGAAATTAAATTCGAATTACAATTAAAAATATCATAGATTGAAACCAATTGAAGATAAATAGTAAAATTATTAATAAAAAGTTTTACTATAAAGTAAATTGAATGAATTAAAAAAGAGAATTAGTATGTATAAACTTCTGATATTTAATTTTTGTGCAATTGAAACAAATTTTTCATAATTTTGCCTTCTATGAAGGCATGATCATCGAAAATAAATTTATAAGCGTTGGTGATTATTTTTGTAATATTTACTTTCTCAAAAATCCAAATTAAATTTCACATGTATTGGATAATTTTGTGTATTAAAAAGTTAAGGCATTTCCAATGACTAATGAAAAAAAATTACTTGGTGCCTCATCAACTAAAAACCAGTCTCTTTTTCTCGTCCGTTTTCCAATTATTTAATTATTTGAAACAATATTCGAAATGTTTTTTACACAATCGATTACAAAAAAAAATGTTCATGGATTCCAAGCAGAAGATTTCGTTTCTTTTGATAGAATAAAAGAAACAAGTACGTGAAATACTGTATCAGCGTTGAAATTGCGAAAACTTATCGTGCATTCTTTCACGGAATTTTGCTATGGTATATTGTTAACTACACTATTTTTGCCGGCCTAGTGCATGGTACAAGTTTTTTCGTGTTCTACATTGTCTTGCTTTGTTCAAAAGAAGAAAAAGTATTTTCCCTACTAAAATCAGTGAATCAAATTTTTTTCTACACAAAGAAATCGGCATGCCACTGAAAAAACTGGAAAATGTTTGAAAAAAGAAGATGGTTACAAATCGGTATTGATAAATAGCAAAAGAACATGACTCCTTTTATCACTTTCCTTTTTTCCCCTTTTTTGCTGTTTTTTTTTTCTGCTCGGTAAACATTCAATTTTGTGTGGCGAAGCAGCAATGTGTTATTATGCCATAGTGTGCGCTGGCATTTGTGTAAGACTTCCCAATATTTCATTTATGCTCACCGCTGCAACGAAACGGAAACGAAAAAATGAAACACGATGTGAAAAGCGAACGAGACACGAAAATATTTTCAGCAACAATATGGTTTTGTAAACATTGCACACCATTCATCGGCACCTATTTTCTAGTGCATTAAAATTGAGTTTGCAAAATAGCGGTGCACCATGGCAAAATCGAAGGCGTGAATATTACGATGGTTTGAGTAAACTTTTATTATTATTGGCAAGTTTGTGGAAAATCGACACAAAATAATTGAGATGAAATTGAACGAAATAAGTATATTAAAAATTATCCGAAGAATTTCCGTTCTCATTCTCTCTCTCTCTCCCTCTCTCTCTCTCTCTTTCTCTCTCTCGAAAATTGTTTCCTGCAAATTATTTTCTGCGCGCAGCCTTCAGACTTTTGGAATTCGCAACCATCGTTCTTTATTACAAATTCTTCATCTTTAACACACTTTACGAAAAAGACTAACGAACATTGCAAATGAAGTGTTCCGTGGTATCGCTTCAGTGGCACGTGGCTAATTGGTCTTGTTAGCGGTGTGAATAATGGAACGGAATTCCACGTGGAAATATGCAAGATTCCGCATGAAATAGCACACATTAGTCATGAAGCATATATCAATTTGTATCGCGGATTTTTCCGCTAGCTGCAATGGAAACGAAGAAGAAATGGTGCCAACGAAGAAAAATGCATTTCATCTCGTTCTTCTTCCACACCCTTCAAAAGTCATTAAACATTGATTTGATAAGTGTGAAATCGCCTGAATTCTTTAAATGATTCTTTGCATAGAAAATTAATAATTCTCAAAAATTGCAATTTTTTAATTAACGCGAATTGTATTTGAAGCAATCTCATCCCTCGTTGAGTGTTTTTTCCTCGACACAATTTTACACACAATAGGACACAAAAAAGTAATAAATGGATCATAAATTGTGGAAAAAATAGGCATTTTCGGTTAATTTCAAACATTTGCAAAAGATTCACAATGATCATAAATTATACGATGTTTTCAGCAGTTTGTCGGTTCATTTTTTTGTCATCATAATCCAGGGATGATGTCGTTAATTTTCCCCCATAAACACTAAATGTCCATTTCATATCTTTTGGCCGGCAATGAAGATATTCGTTTACCAATTTGCAATGAAAAAAATGTATTCAATTGACCAGTTCACCGTCATTCCCCCGTGACTGCACACACGGCGATAATATGAATAACAGAAAAAGGAATCGTTCGACCCATGGCGTATATTGCAAACCAGGTGTTAGTGTCATCGTATATGAATTTTTCGGCAAAAATTTCATATTCGAAAGCTCCATAAAATTTATGGCAGTTTGAAGATTTCTTTGAGGGGCGTGGATGGCCTCATATATATTATATTTTTTGTTTGCAATTTTTCTGCGTCTATATTGCGATGCAAATGTGTGACATCAGAAGACCCCACCGTCGAATCGGAAAGAAGAACCGTTATGAACACAAAAGTTCAAATGTTCCGAATCATAATCACACTTTGGCTACCCCAGATTCATTTGAATGCGGTCGAATCATCACGACAAAATGTTCAGCTGTGATAAATTTATTACATTGGTCCAAATGCTATTATTACAAACTGAATGCCAAAAGTGGCACCGAAGTGTGAAAATGCTGCTTCCAAGTGACAACGACCCAAGCGCCCCAAACTTATAACTATGACCAATTCATCGTCGATGCCAACGTAAATAAAAATAACACACAGAACTCGACCGTAAACTAAATATGTCGCACCATTCAAAGGACTCATCCAAAAGCATTTAGTTTACCAATAGATTGAGATAACTGAGTTTGAATTTTTGCTGAAAAAGTTAGAATGAATATATGCGATGATAAAAAAGATTAGGAATTCCACGAAAAAAGGTTCAGACATAGTTTTCAACTTTTCAATTCATGGGCACATTTTATTGAGTTAAAGGAGTCGTTTGCCATTTTATTTTATTGTTTTTTTATTGCTCAGTCGATGATTTGCTATCGCACCATTGCGTAAGGGTAAATAAATCACATCACAGATAGTGTGTAGTGGGGTCATTGTTTTTCAATTTGAATGCCATTTGAATGGCATTATTAGTCAGAGAAATGTGAGAAGTAACACCAAAATAGATAATTTCAGACTGAAAGTGTCAAATTTCCAAATTTATTCCACTATTATACACACATGGTTATTTAATTCAATGACTTTTGACAAAGTTCATCAATTGAGTTTGACCTTTCCTTTGATATGACATTTTTCATTTGGAATGTGCTTCGGCACACCCACACCAATCATAATAATAAAAATATCATATATTTTCACCACAAGAATGAAAAAAATAAACTTCTGCATTAAAAAATTGCAAATTGTCATCATCTTTTTAATGTAACTAACCAAATTGCTACATTTTTCTCGAAGCTGTTTTTATCTAATGAAATGAAAATTAGCTCAAAGTAAAAAATCCAACCTGACTAGTCGATAAATTTAATTTATTTAAATCAAACGCACAAACTTTACGGTGGCGACGACGAACTTTTCTTTTTCAAATATTACATCTGCCGTATAAAATGCGGCTATGTCCAAAGAAATTCAAACAATAATGAGTTTTATGGTCGCGAATATTGCCAAATAATTATTCTGATAGACGGTATCCAAATAAATGTTTTTATCATCGATGTGAATGGGTGTGAAGGTGTGATTTGGTTTTATTTTAAATTCAAGAGATATTGGTCGCCGGCGACGGCGGATAACCCATATCAGTGACTCAAGTGGCATTTGTCTGAGTAATTATTGCTGAATGTCTTATTGTGCTAGGAGTCTCGACCTTCTTTAATTCGACAACACGAAACGTACTTGTTTCGTTAATTCAAAACACAGAATATGTTGTTTAGTGGCCGCATCTCTGGGGGAATACAAATTTTTCGTCCGACGCCGAGCATCTTTTTCGAGTATTCGAAAACCAAATAGAAATCTATTGTTGTTTAGCTTTCTGTATCCGTCGTCGAAGTGCGAAAAAAAAATTGTCGAGCCATTCAAGTGAATGGGTTGTGAAAACATTAGCAAACAAAAAAAAGGTATGAAAGGAGTAAAATGCTCTGTAGAATACACAAATAAAATAGGCATTTGGGATGAAATAAATGTCATGCGATTTATTTTTTATTTATGGAATTTCGCACAATGCAAACGCACGCTATTCCACTATAACATACTGCAAAAAGGCGAGGGAAGAAGTCGATAAATTTGCTTTCAATTTCGATTTGCACAACAATTTCAACCGAAATATCCATTAAATCCCGAATTCGACACAATTTTGGCTGTTCACTTAAGAAAAACTGCTTCCAAATCAGTGATTTTTATTCCATCAGCTGAGCAATTTCTACCCCAACTCTTGAGGTTCATATATTCGGTGTTCGTTTTTTTCTCCCTCATTGGCCTAGTTCCAACGTGTACAATACATATTTTCCGTTTGTTGGTTTGGCAAAATTTAAAATTGAAAAGGAATGCATTTTAACAGGAAGCGACCGAATAAAATAAAATAGCGTTTTATCTGATGGCAGCAATAATGTAATCTATATTTATACCGACGTCATGCTCTAAATGAGATCGTTGCCGTAATTCCTTACTTTATGGATTGCATGTGATTTAACGTTGAAACAATTTCAACTGTAATTTCTGTTCTGCAATATTCTTTCATAATTTTCCAAACATGAGAATTATTCATATGCGATTTTGTGTTACATGAATAAAATATTTGGCAAACGAATATTGGACTGATGGCAAGGGAAAATTAATGCCACGCATTTCATTTGCGAAATTCATAAATAAAAATTATGCAAATACATAATTAAACGCATTGGCCAACTTGAACATGGTAAAACATGCAATTAAATTCGGTAGATCTTCTTCGAACATGAATCAGATAAAATCCATGAACATGATGAGCACAACGGTTGCTTTGCATTTTACGTTCACCAAAAATGCAATATTCTCGTGGAAAATTTATATCAAATTCAATTAAAGTGACCTGGAATATGCATCACGATAAGCTGCATTCCAGCAACTCCGCCGCATTTGGAATTGTTTTAAAACTAAAAATGTTGGTTTTTTGGTTAAAAAACAAGAAACAACCACATTTTAAACATATTGTATACGAAAAACTATTAATAGATAGATGCTGTTGATTATTGATATGTTTTTCATTTGCTCTCGACATCACAGTATTATTTTAAACTATCCCTGGGGTTTGAACGCATTCCATTTTGATTCTCAATTTTACGTTTTATGCTTTTACATATATTAAGTATGATTACTACCCAGCAAACAATTATGAAGCACATATTGACGGTCGTTTTCGGGGTTAGATTCGAGTGTAGTTTCAGTCATTTCCATAGGTTTGGCATGGTGGAACATTCAGGTGTGAAAACATGGAAAAAGGGAAAGACAACCATTAGTATCAGTTGAACTGGGTATAAAATACTTTTTTTAAATTAAAAACTTTACTCACCTACGGGCACTCCCCCTCCGTACAATGTTGTACTATTGTACAACTAGACCACAAGACTTTATATAGTCTGTTCATGTCTAGCTAAGCTAACTATAATAGTTAAAAAAAATTTATTTCATGTAATTTTTTGAATGTATGATTAATTGATGATGTTTGTTAGTTGACATTGTTGTTTTAGTCCGGCGGTCTTAACAATGAAACTGGCAATGGTACATCAAAGATCCGGCAAAGTCCTATGTAATTTAAAGCAAATACATTAAATAATGAATATTCTGTTTCCAATTGATTCATACCTTTGAGCATAATGCATTTTGCTGCAACAATATCTCGGTGCCAAGTAACTGTTTGTGGAACAACATCATCATCATCAACATTTAATGGCCAATTTTTGTAGGTAACTTTAACCTTTGACATTAAACGCCCAGTCCGAATTTTTTCGTTCACAGCCTCACGATTGCCATCGATAATTTGTCGCTTAATAATTGCACGTTTTCTTCTCAAAACACGTCTGTTGACCGTTGACACAATGATATCTGGCAGTCCAGCGACTGAATCTGGCAGGCCATCAATCTTTTTCGCTCTACAATCGTAGCACACTTTAAATCGATCATCTTTTGTGTGCCTTGGAAAACGTTCCTGACAATTCGCGCATGTTTGTGATGTTCCCCATTCATCTTGCATTTCAACTTCTGAATGTCCAAGTTTCTTAATGCTCACACGAAACTTACGCGATCCCGGACATCTTTTACGCTTTTTTATTCCAAACGGTCGATCGGGTTTCATCGCCCAAGCACCAAATTGAACCAACGACGGTTTGTTGTTTGTCACACGCACGGCGATTTGATCATTTACTCTGGTCGAGCGAATGTGATGGTCTAAATCCAGTCGTGCATATTCACGCGTCGCATAAGCTGCCATTCCTTTTCGTAACATTTTAATGCGATATTCAATGTATGATTTCCATGTTGAATTACGTGGTGATGGTGGACGATATGGGTATGTTTTGAGATGTTCCTTCTCTTCGATATCAAACCATCCAGCCAACTTTTTCGCTTCTTTGTCTCATTTTTTCTGCTGAGTTTCCCAATGAAAACGCTGGTTTGGTATTATAATGTTTTCCTTCAAAATGCAAAATGATACAAAAAACTATGAGTTTCTATTCAAAACCATTTCAAATTACATTTCAAAATATCTTACCTCAACAGCCGGCTCATCAGGTGTTTTTTGAATGTTGCGACGCACTACAGTTAACCACGATTTTTCATTCGGATCGATTCCAATGATGTATTTCTTGCCAATGAGTTTTTCCGGCCCCCGATTCGCTTGGGTTGTTTGCTGTGGTCGTTGTTGTCGCTGTGGTTTCTCGTACATTATGGATATTGAAACACTATCGGTCAAAATCTGATGATGGAATGGTTTCGATTTGCCCAATTTATTTATTTTACCGACATCGAACAACATATTCCATAGACCTGATCGATCAGTTTGGGTGTAGTACTTTAAATTTCTCTTATTCATCCGGTTGGTCCGCGTATTGAGAAAAGAAGGCACCAAATCAAGCTGGTTTACAATTTTATAATACAAGTCCTTAATGTCCAATCGCACGTTTTTCAAATGGTAGTCGCATAATGGTATAAGAGCAAAACTGCTTATTTTTGGTGGTCGATTGATTGTTGGCTCTTGAAAGTTCGGATTGTTGCGAAACATTTCATGAATGGTATACCATTGTTCGGCATGACTGTGATACACTTCTATTTGCCGTTGCATTTGACCGAACAACCACAGTGATTCAAACCAACGATATTTTGCGAAAAATTTCATACTCACTGTTCCCGACCATCCAATTTCAGTCAAATCTCTCATTAAAATATTGAATTTTTCAACGCGTTGTGGATCCACATTATTACCATTATTACCATTTGTTAAATCCTTAAATCGATATGAAAACTCTTTGGCATTTCTGATGTCGATGTTATCAAATCTTGAGCCATTGTGGAATCGATTGCGATACCAACAACGCATTCGAAAAAAATTCTCAAGTCGTTTTTCACACCATGTGTTGGTATTGGTTTGAATGTTTGTGATATATTGTTTATAAAAATATCTCAAACCATTTCCCAACTTTTCATCATCTGGCCATCGGAACTGTTCTTCACTGTTTCTTTCTACCATGAAACGAAACTCGGGCAATATCCGATATTCACTATTAATATTGTTAACGTGTTGGTTTAATACCGCTCTGAAACAATCGGCAATGAACAGGCTTGGATGTGGTTTCAAAAAAAATGCACGATCGTCATTATCAAGTGCTTCATTCAAAATAAAAAGAATAGAAAGTGATGCCAATGCTGCCACTTCTGTCATTTGAACACTGCGCTCGAATAGCATTTTGGTCACAACTTCTCCAACTCTTTCAATCCGTTCATGTTGTTGTCGCAGGATTGTTTGAAGTCCACATTTTATTACAACGTATTTGCTTTCTTCTGGTTGATTATCATCGAGCTCGTCGTCATCCATGTCTTTTTCTGTTCATTCTCAAAAAACTGATTAAATTATTCGAAAATAAAAAATAGACACAAATTTAGAAAAAAAATGCAACAAAAATAGCATAGATTACGAATAAAATGAGATCACAATTTAAATGACAATCACTTATATCACAATTCAAATTAATCACTTCTTACCTCAACGATGTCACTCTGTATTCTGATTCAAATGATGAAATGTTTTCCAATATTCCGCCGATGAAAATTTTGTTGGAATATTCACCGTCAATTTTATGAATGCTTTCTTATTTTGAAATAACAACAGAGACAATCTCAAAACCAACAGTGAATTTATTCGTTTAACATCGAACAAACAAAATCATTGGAACAAATGTTAGCCAAGAATGACGACAAACAAATTGTTTCATACTCTAATATAAACACTCACACATAATTCTCGAAAATTCCTTTTACAAGCAAAGCACAATTTGTTACAAACAAAAAATGAGAACACACTCATATCACAATTCAAATGAATAACTTTTTATACTATATAACGCTGTGTCCTGATTAAAACGATGAAAATGTTTTTTTTTTATTTTGAAATGAAAACAAAGACTGTCACAAAACGGACTGTGAATCTTTCCATTTGACATCGAGTGACTTCTACAGTTACGTTCCAAACACACCAAACCGTTGCTAAAATGACGATAAACAAAAAATGAATCTCATGTACAAGAATTCCATTTAATAATCACTGAATTTTGTTTTTTTTTTCAACACAATGGCAACTTAACCATAATTACTTACCTTATTCTTAACAATAACTTCAAAATATTTTGATGCGAAAAAATCCTTATTTAGTTCGGTGCCGGAATTATAATTTCATACATTGTTCAAAGAAATTAATTGATACGATGCAATGTTTACGAAGCACATTTTGAATGTAATCAGAAAAATCGGCTTCGATATGATACACACCAATACACACAGCTACCAACTGTCAAATGTCGTACACATTCAAACATGTTTCGAATTCGAAATTCGAATTTGAATTATGAAATAAAAAAAATAAAAAAATGTTTCTGAAACTAAAATCAAATCAAACAAATCTAAAAAAAAAGGTACATTTATAAATGTATTTCACAGTCACTTGAAATTCCTACGCAATGTTTTTTTTTATTCATGCACAATCGAAACACACACAGAGAGAAGAGAGTAAGATTTGTATTTTCATCCTCTTTTTTTTCCGGTTTGTTTTTCAAATTTCATTTGCTTAAAATCAATCGTATGAATACGATATTATGAACTCAACGAGTTTATGTTAGTTACATTTGTTTACATTGTATTGCCGCTACAGTTTCTTAGAATATAATAACAAAAAGAGAAACAATCGAAACACACAGAAGATGATGTTGTGTATCGCAACACGAAAAAGCCGAAAAAGTGGTTCACATTATGCCTATATTCTACCTTCCATTTGACACGAAAATTGCCACAAAAATGGGTTAAAGCGTTACATTTTTTAACGTTAAAATGTCCTAAAAACGTTACATATTTGTCCGTTGGGTATCATTAATTTGACAAATTTATGTACTTTTTGGGTTTGATTTTACAACGTGACATAGGCAGCCGCTTGCTGGACAAAATATTTAATTATTCTAGCTCACCATTTGACTATTTATAAAGTAATCGAAATATAATTGCAGTGGTAATATTTTATGTTGTAATATTTTGTGTGATTTAAAAAAAGCTATTTTTTTGAATTGTTGTATGGAGCAAATATTTCAACGCAATTGTGTCTAATATCTAGGGAGAAATAATGTTTCTAAGTCTCAAAGAATTGAAGAATGTCCGTACAAAAGAGAATGAACAAATTGGCAGCTACACTCACTTCGATCTC